TATAAGTAATGATAGGCAGTGACGCGCTCCCTCCGGAGTCCGAGTCCCGGTGGGAACAACATCACTCACTCCAGCTGACGCATCCCAAATAGGACGAAATGCGCATCCTCGATTCCACTGCTAGCCACTGCACATCACTGCTATACATAGTTAAAAGACAAGCAATATCGAGGCATCCGCATAGGAGCCCATACGCCAACAGAGATTGATCAATTCGGTTCAATCAACGACGGTGTAATACAAGCAATAACACTAAGTCAATAAGGTTATTTAAAATAATTCCGATAGTTAGAAGGTCAATTTTACATATTAATTATGCAGTTGAGTAAGTTTAATTGTCGAGGAAAACTAATAACACAAAATAATATAGCTATAATACAATAATTTTTCTGGAAAGTAATCGTATTTCTCAACAATTTTGGATATAACCTATTTTCCATAGTCGAATATCAAGGTAGCCAGCACTATGACACTGAGACATGGTTACTTTTTTCTCTTTTGTAATAAATTACCAGTTAGTTTTGATATAAATCACCTCTACACTAACCTACTAATTTGTATGGCTGTAGGAGGTTAGTTAAAGATGAACTAAACACTAATCATAAGCTTACGCTTTGAACTACCGTACTACTACTAGTTGAGAGTACACTTACGCTTGGATTTTGCAGTCTTTAGGTATCAGAATAAAATACACAAACAAACAGAAGTTGTCATTCGATCTCTTATATCTCCTATTATGGCAGATCATCTTTATCGATAGTTGAGAACGGATAACCCTTTGAAATATTTAACCCTCCTTCTAACACATAGTTCAGATATGTAGATAACACATTAACACAACTAGAATGGAATCGTAGCACGTACATAGACTTGAAATGATGGAAAATATTTGTAGCTCAGGTGGATAGTCTTGGTTGTATTGTGTTCTCTGAGCTGGCTGGGTTGTTTAATCGTGAAGCTTTCATCGCCTTGCTAGACGACATCATCAACACTAACTCCAGTATGAAGTGAGCTGTCAGTATCTTCCCATGAGTGATTTAGTAGCTTGACCTGACAAAGCGGTCTCTGATTGACTGTTTCCTTTGATTGTTGTGTATCGACTGACTTCATAGATTTTCCTGTTGGCTGTTCCTCTGCTTCACCTCTGACTTTTCTGTCTTTTATCATTTTTCTTATTGGTTGATAGATCGGGTCTATGTCCATACATCTATTGATTGCTGACTGACTAACCTGAATGCCAAGCTTCTAGAAATTCTCTGATATTCTCCGTGTTTCCTCTCTCCATCCAAGATCAGTACTACACTGTCGAAATTGAATCCACGTCCATAGTTGTTACCCACGTGCATTGAAATGAGTGATGAAATATCGTGGCGTTTAATAACCAATTGGTGCTTATGTAAATGACGAAGGCGAAGAGGGCGGCTGCTTTGTCCAATATAGTGTTGACTACAGTTATTGAAGTTGATTTTGTAAATGATATTCAGTTTGTCTTCTCTGATTGTTGTTGCATCCTTTGGTCTGCATAATAGTGTTTGGCGGGAAGTTGTTAGTTTATGAGCCACACCAATTCCAAGTGGTCTCAGCAATCTTGTTGTAATTTCTGATATATTCTTTATGTATGGTAGGACGATGCGTTTGTTGATTTCTGTCGATGACTTTATAGTTGGTGATGTATGGGATAGGCATCTTCTGATAAAGTTTCATGGGTAGCCGTTCTTCTTTAGAATAGATATCAAGTAATTTTCTACGTTTCTCCGTGAAGTTGTTGTGCTGCAGTGTATCCTCACTCTTCTGAGTAGAGTCTGCACGCAACTGATTTTGTATGTCGTTGGGTTGTTGCTATTGTAGTTGAGGATTTGGTCAGTGTGTGTTGGCTTCGTGTACACCTGGGTTTCCAGCTTTTCAGCATTTGTCCTACTGATTAAAACATCCAGGAATGGTAGTTGGTTGTTTGACTCGTTCTCCATTGTGAATTTGATGTCATTGAAAACGTTGTTGATCAAACTGTGGGTGTTTTCTATATCATCCTTTGTAATGATGACAAAAGTGTCGTCTACATAACAAATCCAATTTCTTGGTTTGAACACAGGTAGAATAATGGCTTCCAGTCTCTGCATCACTGCTTCTGCAATTAGTCCGAATATCGGTGATCTCATTGGAGTTCCTTTCATCTGTTTGTATATCTTACCGTTGAATTGGAAGTATGTTGTCATACAAAGGTCGATGAGTTCTATCAGACCTGAACATTTGAGTTTTGTGCTTCACGATTAAACAACCCAGTTCAGAGAACACAATACAATCAAGACCTACATAGACTCTTTACACATATAAATTCAATAGTGGACGTAATCCAATTCACTTATGAAGGAGATTGTACAATATAAAAGCAAAGTAATTCCATATTAGATTTGTTTATTTGATTTATAACACACAGTGATCTAGTATTATTTACTTAGACACGGTCATGAATAAAATCAGGAAATCTACAGCCGATCTGATACGCCGACTAAAGCCGTCTCTAGGTGAGTCTGAACGACCTAATTTAATACCTAAAACTAATAATCCTAGCAGAATTTATGGCACTATTAAGGTTCATAAACCAAGTTATCCCATTAGACCCATAGCTGACTTCAGAAATACCCCAACATTTAAACTAGCAAAGTACTTAGCTTCGATATTATACCCTATTAGGAACCATTCATATTCCAGACTAGTAAACTCTTACGAGTTAAAACTTAGGCTTAATGACCTACACATAAAACAAGGATGAAAAAAATGGTTAGCTTCGATGTAACTAGTCTATATACTAAAATACCAATCAATATGGCACTGGAAGCAGTCAAAAGTCAATTAAATATCGACTCAAAACTTACTCACAGAACTAAGATATCGGTTGATGAGAGAGTTTATATTAGGCATACAGTTATGCCTGACCTCCATAGTCTTCAAGTTTCAGGACAAAATCAAGTAAATCATACTAGATCACTGTGTGTTATAAATAGGACGTATTCCGTGGTGTCACCATGTGAGTAATGCAGAAGTTAGGTGTAGAGTTTTGGGGAGAAGAGGTAAGTCAGTTGACACAGTTGTGAACCTTCATCGACTGAGATGGTTGGTACACGTACTACGTATGCCTAGCCACCGATTGCCTCGTCACACAATACTGGCTGAGGTGGGTACAGGCTGGGAAAAGGCCCAAGACAGCCAGACTAAAACATGTCACCAATGTATGACGTCTCCTCTGACTGTTGGTTTAAGCCATGTAGGACGATGCAGACTAGGTGGTTGGGGTCCACGGGACAAGAGGAACCAGTGGTTGGAGACCCTAGGTGATCAAATGGCTCAGAACCAATGTCAGTGGAGCAGATGTATACACACATTATCCTCATCTTAACGACACTATACCGAATCTCACCATCTTGTCACTCCTCTTTTCTTTCTTCCCGTACTTTTTATTTCTTTTGACTGCATTCACTTATCTTCATCCTTCACCTCACTACCTTTCTACTTGATGAACTGACGTGAGGTGTGGCAACTCGGACCGTTACGCAGTAATGTCTGGTCCTATGTTGATAATGATGATGATGATGTTATAAATCAAATAAACAAATCTAATATGGAATTAATTTCTACCAAAGTGCCCAAGTTTTACACACCTATATTAATATGAAAGGAAAGATAGTGTAAGCGTAGACAGTAGTGTCTACAGGAAACATTCACATTCAAATGGCTTCTTGAACTTCAGACTGTCTCACCTCAAGTTAATAAAACGATCAAGTATCACGGAAAATCTGAGGCAAAGAAAATGACACGATGAAGGCCTTTTACTAGTCAGTAATTACCTACCTAAATTTATGAATAAATTGATCAGAAGTTGTAGAAAAAAAACACAGCTAGTAGTGATAAAACAGATAATCATAATAATGACGCAACTTAGAAGAGGGGATTTAAAACTTCTACTGTATAAAGAAGGCACCACAGAGATGCTAAGTAGGACTGTGATTAAGGCTGAGATTAGAGTGGCACCTAAACCAACCTATTAACTCACTTAGAAATAAGCTTTGTAAGTTAAAAGATCCTACTGATCCAATGAGCCAAAATAATTTAGTTTACCAAATGTCTTCCAATGATTACTAGGTCAAAGTAGTCGACCACCGGTTAATTAGGCTGTCCGAGTGTAAAACCCTAACTAAATGAAAATTGATAGGCCCTATTAAGATATGGAATGTGGAAAAAAGCTTGATTACAGTTATGCATACAACTGCAAACCGTCACACAGTAGGATGGGACATAATGACAGTATTAAAAACTTAGTTGGGTGAATGGAGAGAGTGATAAATAAATCTTTGTTCATCGAATCAACACCAAATACATGCAACAGAAATGACTCAGCACTTGTTCTACATAGATAGATATGAAAATGCCTACTGCTCTTGTTACAAAGGAGATGAGACAACCAGAACTACACAAATTATGTCTCGAAGTTGTGGAACTACTTTGACTTAACTGGGGATAATAAATTGTGTCGAAACATTACCCAGCCAGTGGTACTATTTTTACGTTCCCGGAGAAGATAATATATACACCCCTGACTGACGGCTAACTTCGTATGCAAGATCCACCGACTCCAACCTCGGGCGAAATAGAAAAGACTGAATTGTATGGGAGACAGTTTATTCCTCTGAGAAGAATCATCAATTAACTCAAAAGCACATGTATATATATACACAGATGAAATTTGACCTTGTTTAGAATTTTAAAAGTAAACATTAACCAATTAGAGAATTTCCTTGAAAATGGCGGTAAAAATGAACTACTTGGCCATGCCGTAAAAATGGCGCGAAAACGACGGTTTAAAAATGTTTAGATTAATAAACAATGTTTTATGCGAATCTGATATATATATATCTGATAAGCAGACTGAAAATGAAATATACAACTATTTTTTTTTTATGTGATATACCATGAACAGATAGAGTAGACAAAATAAGACAACTTACTCTGATTTATATCATCCGGGGGAATAACGGCCAGTCCAGCAGGATCATCATAATACTGTTCCGGTTGTTGCTGATCACTCGAATTTGAAGAATGAAGATGGGATCAGAGGAGCAGGATGAATTTTTCAAGTCAATATTTACAGTTGGTGAACACGAAAAGAAACGAATACTATTCAACAGTAATATGATGGCTAGTAATTGACAAAATTGAACTAATCTCTCTTCTTTAATACTGAGTGATAGAAAAGCTTTTAGTAAAGCAGACCAATTTGATCTTGATCGTTGATATGCTTCATCATTACTTCTAGTGTAGTGACAATTATCTAAACCAAATTTCACACGGTCTTCATTTGACAAGGATTCTAAAAACTGATACGGTAGCAGTAAAAAAAAGACTGTGAGGATCTCTTACAAAGAATATATCAAACTTAATAACAATAATAATGATGATAAATGATACAACTCAAAAACCACATGTAGGCCGGTGTACTGGACTATGTGGAGGCTATGGCTCATCGATGGTCAGCGGCATTCACTTTTTAAACAATAAGTCACGGGTTGAAATCCCGCTCCATGTGCTGAGATCTAATCATCCAGGCAATAAATATCATTAGCACTCACACAATAGATGTGACTTATTGCCTACTACACAAAACTGTATATAGGTGCAGAATAGATTTCATTTTCGTATTAGACTATAAAACACCTATTGTATAGGGGTTGATGATAGTTCTTAGCTGCCGAAACTTAGGTAGATCTAACTCTGTTAGAACCCATAATCTACTGCTTGAAAGAAAGCTAATTGGTTAAGTTGAAGGATTGTAGATCAACTGGAAAAGATTCCGGAAATAGATATGAATCAAAGAATGATATTGGATGAAGTGAACTGTTACAACTTGAACAACCTGATCTAAGTGATAAGATATTCATCTTCCTCATAAGAAATAACGATGCAACGCCTAACATAACAGAAATTGTTCAGTCTACGAAATCCAACATTCCAAAAGGTACAATTGATAATGAAAAACTAGATTCTTTCGAAGTAAAAGTTGAAGTCAGTTGGTCTTGATCATCTATTGTTCAGAAAAACAGAATCAACTAGCACAGATCAATAAAAGTATTGCCTTCATTTGACGTACAACACTTTACATATCCATAAATATACAAGTATATTACCATTTGGATGAAAGAAAACCAGATTGCTGTTAAGAACATAAGTAAGGAAAACTAACCCATATAAACTTGAAATATAAGAAATCTATTTATACAGGAGAAAAAGATGTACTACGTATTCCTAGTCACCGATTGCCTCATCACACAATACTGGCTGAGGTGGGTACAGGCTGGAAAAAGGCCCAAGACAGCCAGACTAAAACATGGCACCAATGTATGACGTCTCCTCTGACTGTTGGTTTAAGCCATGTAGGACGATGCAGACTAGGTGGTTGGGGTCCACGGGACAAGAGGAACCAGTGGTTGGAGACCCTAGGTGACCAAATGGCTCAGAACCAATGTCAGTGGAGCAGATGTATACACACATTATCCTCATCTTAACAATGCCATACGGAATCTCACCATTTTGTCACTCCTCTTTCCTTTCTTCCCGTACTTTTTATTTCTTTTGACTGCATTCACTTATCTTCATCCTTCACCTTACTACCTTTTTACTTGATGAACTGACGTGAGGTGTGGCAACTCGGACCGTTACGCAGTAATGCCTGGTCCTATGTTGATAATGATGATGATGATGGAGAAAAAGATTATCACAGAAGGCAACAAAAAAAATGACAGTTATAGAGTTCTCCTTCGAATTTCGACGAAACTCTCCTTATGCAAACAGACAGAAAAATATACACAAAAGTAGATCGTTAATTTCTCACATTTGCGGCTATAGCATGGTGAACTAGTATGTAATATCTGATTACCCGTTAAATCTATCTACATTCAACAGGTATTTATTCTTAATAGTAGCGATAGGTAACAGTAGGTAGTTATTTAGATTTGTCACGGAAACGGGTGAAATGGACAATCGTTAATGAGCCTATAGCGCAGAAGGATGGGTCTGAGATTCACTCGCAAGGGAGATAATTGGGAAGAAGGGCGGAACACTTCAATAGATCTCTAGCTACTATCCTATTACCTCCTAATCCAAAAAGATCCTGAATGGAATATACATATAAGGCCTTCAAAACTTACCGAAATTGAAAATGGTGTAAGTAATCTGAAATAAAGAGCAGCAGGGCTAGATGAACTAGTACCAGAGGTACTTAAGAACTGCGACCGTCGATAACTGGTTACATTAACTGAGGTGTTAGGTGGTATATAGGAATCAAATATGAGTCCCACCGACTGACCTCGATCGCCGGTTGTCCCAGCCTTCAAGAGGTGGAAGAAATCCTTCTGTGATGACCACAGGGAAATAAGTCTCACATAGTTTTAATTCCTATAATCATTGAAAGCCGAACCGAAGTTTAGGGACAACAAACCCAAGAAAACTAGGCAGATTTCAAACCTTACCATGGATGTATCGACCACATATTCATCCTCCGATGGAACATAGATATACCTAATGGTGCCCGTCATCAGCTATCCCTCCTAAACTAAGAGTGGCATTCAACCCCAGTGACCAGATCTTATGGCAATATCTCTCACTGAAAAGGCTCTTTACTCGAACAGCCGCTGGTGTGTTACAGCCTATAGTGAGTTATCGGGTGATTTGTGTACGTCACCATGTGTCTGTCGAGGATGCACTGACGGTCTCTATCGCATCATTTAACGTCACATAGATTGTGCTTATCACAGAGGAATCCTTGATAGATCTAGAGTGCACAGACGAAACAGTACTGTTAGGTGAAGACCTTGACAAGATGCTGAGTCTTCAGGAAAATTAGTGACAATTTGAGAATGTTTGGGGTTCTTTTCTCGTCAAATTGTTGCTACGGGACTGATCTTCCGCGATGTTTTTCCTACCAATAGGGAGTGAAATGGTTGAGCACATTGACCACTGCACTTACACAAGAAGTCAAATCAGCCCTTGTGCGTGCTAGGGTACTAAAAGCTCGACTGGGTCTCGTCAACTTACGCCATCAGTAGCGCTTCTATGATACCCGATTCCGCGTTAATGGTCGAGTGTATTGCGCCGCATTTCGCTCTGTTCTGCCATATAGCTGTCAAACATGACCATTAAAGGCAGACGAATGAGAAGACCTCACACATCCAACTACCGTTGCTGTCGTAGTACAGGGCGTGTTATGGTGTCACCACACCAATAACTTAAAAGTTTGGCGTAGAGGTTTGGACACAAGAGGGACGCCGGTAGGTGAGGTTGAGAACTTTCCGCTTAAGTGGTTGGGATATGCGTTGCACATGCTTAGTCACCGTCTGCCTCATTGCACTTTGTTGGCTGAAGCAGGCTCACGTTGCAAAAAGGTTAGGAGTGGTCAGACTGAAACATGCCATCAGTTTATGGTATCTTTGACTATTGGTATGAGCCATGTAAGGAAATGCAGACTTCTTGGTTGGAGTTCACGTGATAACAGAAGTCAGTAAGCGGAGACTCTAGATGATGTGAATCAGAATTCATCTCAATGGCGCAGATGTATCTACGCATTATTTTCATCCTAACCGTCATACTGATCTTAGTATTATCTCATTCCTCTTTGCTCTTTTGATGGCTTTCTACCACCAGTTAACCGCTTTCTCCTTTTATTTCTATACTCTTAGTGCTTACTCGCTTGATGGGTTGATATGAGATGTGATAACTTGGATTACTTCGCATTATTGTCAGGTATTATGTTGATTTTGTTTGCCTATCTGTCTGCAGTAATAGATACCTTTTAAAACAGTTAAACCGACTTGAGTAGTTCTGCAGTAGCATGAACAAGTTCAACACCAGATGCTATGACTCATAGGATTATGTCCTTGGTTTTTAACCAAGGAGTTGTGGATTTAGAGCGCAAATGTGACCAGCTATTTAGTATCATAACTAATCCTCATACATCGGATTTCACTTGCAACCTAGTGCACCAATGTGTATTTGATTGAAAATTGACATCATTTACAAAACCGAATGATGCAGGTTTTAATTTTAAAGGTGATAAACATAGCCTCAACTAACCAACAGTAAATCCAATGCATAGTCTAATCTTCAAACTTTAGTCTAAAATTTATAGGTTTCTATCATCATTGAAGACTTGCAATCTCATACAATGTAAATAGGCATAAATGTGAAAGAAAAGAAAAGGAGAAACTTACCCAACGAAATATATGAAATGATGAAAACAACGATTTAGGTGTGAATAAAGCTCTAGGCTTTTCCAAAAGATAAATTTGTAGTCTTGCTCCAACAAGGATTTGATTTCTTTACATACAAAGTGAAATGTAGTCATAGACTACAACAAAAATAATTCAACAAACCGATCATAGATAAGGCGTATATATTTGCCAAAACGTGAACTATTTTCATTAAACTGAGTTTGTGCATTACCTAAATTGAAAATTAATTCAACAGTATACAAAAAAAACTGGACAGAATTACCAAGTGCTTCCAATATGGGATTGGATTGTAGAATAATATTTTCGATATGTACTTCAGTTTTCCGCCTATTAAAACAAGAAAATATAATAAAAGCTTAGAGATTTAGAAGGAAAATAATTAAAACAGTAGAAAGGTTGAAGTTCATTCACTTGGATTTCAGCATCGTAGCGATTACATGTGCAAATGAATATCACAGCAATGACTGGTAGATAAAATAACAACGATGAGCTACTGTTTCCATACTGCATTCCAAGGATGATGAAGAAAGAAAGAAAACCTACTCAGCTACCTTGTGCACATCTGTGCAGTAGGCGATGAGCTACACCTATTGTGAGGGCTAATGATACTACCTGGCTCCCCAAACCTCAGTAGGTAGGGCAGGGCTAGGACTTGTGACCCAATGTTTGACACATCATCTCTCTCAAACATTAAAACGCAGCTCCTATTTTCATATCATGAGCCCGCCAGGAATCGAATCCAGGACCTTCGGCTTTTGAGGCCAGCACGTTACATACAGTTGAGCCACTGGATCTATCGAGTGATGAGCTACAATAAACGCTTTAGACTTCAGCGTTTTACTCTGACCGTAGTTCAGTGGTTTAAACACTCAAGTATCAGCCAGTGAGTCACAAGTTTGTAACCTCGTTTCCTCGTACAGAGGTCTCCCTTCAATAACATGTGTGCTTCATACGCTAAGTAAACAAACTCACATGGTTGATTTATCACATTAAATCCATATTTTTTTCATAAATAAAGGGTATCAGTAAATCATAATTTTTTATGCTAGCATCCAGAGAAACATAATGCAGGTAAGCTACAAATATTTCGCTGTCAATAGAAAACCTAATCATAGAAAGTAGAATCTTCAGAGAACAAAATACAATGGAGAAAAAAGTCAGTTCGTTAACATTGATTCACTGACAAAATCAGTGTAGAATATCGCAGACAAGTGCATCGGCTCAAGTTGCCACACTTTACAGTAGTATACAAAGAATAGGTGGGTAGAAAATAATTGTTATCAAAGATTAAGTGAGAGAATAAACAATTTGAAGATAAAGATTACTGCAAATAACCAAGCTCTAGGAGATATACAAGGGTAAATACATCTGAGCCACTGTGACTGATTTCTAGCCATATCACCAAGAGTCCTCAACCAACGGTTTCTGCCATCTCAAGGACTCCAGCCAGATAGTCTATACTCCCCCCACAAGGCTCAGACTAACGGTCAGGGACTTTATGGAGTCGGGCCACGTCCTTGATTTGCCACTCTGAACCCTCTTTCAACTTCCCCTAGTATGACACGTCGAGGTCGGCAATCCATCAGCATGCGGAGTACATGTTCAAGCCATCTCAGTTGTTAATGTGTTTGGTAGACATGGTAATCAAATAATGAAGTGCATTGATGACAAACTAGCGTCTTTAACAAAAAGCAAAGTAACGAAGACGACTGAGGATATTGTTGGAAGTTATGGTGTTTGGGTCTGAGTGTCACCACCAAGTTTGGTAACTTTGGAGATAGCGTTCGCAAACATAACCAGCATGCTAAAATTTATTTGATCCAGGGTCATGTAAAATACTTACCAGATATACTGACAAACTCAACGAAAAAAACAAAACGCACTCCGCCTTATGCATATTCATGCAGTAGTCAATTAGGCACACCTATCGTGTGAGGGCTAGTAATAGTACCTGGCTACCCAAACCTCGGTAGGTAGAGAGGGCCTCGAAACCGTGATAGTCATTTCTTTAAACTGCTGACAAACTCAAGTCAATAAGAAATATCACTTGTGAATTAACAACACTTTAAAAAATCGCCTTACGTTTGCTTTTTGCGTTTCACACTACTCTTATAAGTTAAGTAGTGTAATATGTGTTTAGTGGCTTCTGTTTTCCCTGATCCACTTGTGCCAGTAATAATTATTGACTGATTACTTCCCGTAGATGTCATCTGCCACAAACATGCCTCCGCGACAGAGTATACATGGGGTTTTCTCCAACAATTATGTATCTAAGATGTTTGTAATTACCACAACAAATCCCAAGAATACTTCAGTATAATCATTCACTCCATCACATGAATAATTTTGAAGACAATTGTTTTTCGGATTAATGGAAATCAAAATGTTACTTCCTAGCCATGTATAGATTTCTGAATTCTCATATTTGTATACTAAACTTTGAATAACTATCTGGAGGTGAATTTAAGATTGAAAACGATTGAATACCTTCGGATACACATGGTGTTGGCAGATCAAGTAGGTCAGTAGGCATAGAATTTCCAACCATTAGAACTTCATAAAAACTTATTCAAGAAACTAAAAGAAAAACGCAAAAATTGTGATACAGATCAGACAAAATGACTTACAAGCAAACATAGAAACATTCTACGTTAAACTCGTCACGTATGAAAAATATGGGGCAGGATAAAATTTGCCATTTGCTCATGCTAAATGAAAAGTTTTGAGTATTTGTGGTTAGTGATAGACGGTATCAAAGATAATTGCAAAAATGGATTAAATGCATCCTTGAGTCGTAACCTAGCTAACCAGATGTCATGTATAGGACTAACTACAGAAAAAGGTTGTATAATATTTCATCCTCCATGAGACGATTAAATTGAAATGTACTCATCAATTACGAGCACGTTCGTGCAGTAAGCAATGAGCCACACGTGTGTGCTAGTGATAGTACCTGGCTCCCCAAACTTCGGTAGGTGGAGCGTGGCTCCAAACCGTGACCCATTGGTTGAAAGTCATCTGCCTAAACTAATGAGTCACATCTCCTCACAAGATGATTAAAAGTACAGATAGTTTGTCACTCACTCCACCTCTTGAATAACATTCGTAACCATAACTAAATAAGGGGTTTAAAGACGAGTGAAAAGAATACCTACAATGTGTATATTGGCGAACGCTAACGAAAAAACAAGTCCTAAATGACCGTCTGCATTTCAAAAAGCCCTACCGTTGCAAGTCAGACAGCAGTCGGAACTCTGTAATTCCAGAGACGGACACATAAATATAGGGCTTGGCAGGGATGTGTATCGATTTACCACACTTCACAAAAGCATGTAAAGTAGACAAAAAGTGATAAAAAAAGATGTACGAAAATTGTGAGACGAGAGAATATATAGATGACTAAGAATGGATAAGTCCGTGCCATTGTGACCCATTTTCAGCCATCTTATCAACAGTCTACAAATAGTGATATTCAATATTACGTGGAGCTCATATCTGCTTGATCGAAAGATGAGAACGTCAAGCTAAAAATTTATCTGGAAGAAACAGTAATCCTCATCCTGAGGAAGCCTTGCATGACATTAAACTCACGTGAGTAACGTAGAAGTCAGGTGTAGAGTTTTAGGGAGAAGAGGTAAGTCAGTTGACGAGGTTGTGAATCTTCATCGACTGATATGGCTGACTGGCATATGTGTTGTGTATGTCTAGTTGCCGTCTGCCTCATCATACAATGTCGACTGAAGTAGGTTCAGGCTGGAAAAAGGCTTGAAGATCTCGACCAGACCAAAACATGGTATCAGTGTATGAAGTCTCTGACTGTTGGTTTGAGCCATGTGGGGTGATGCGGACTAAGTGGTTGGGGTCAGCGGGACAAGAGAAACCAGTGGTTGGAGACTCTAGGTGATATGCCTGAGGACCGATGTCAGTGACACAGATGTATATACACATTATCCTCATCCTACAGACGCTACACCGAATCTCACCATTTTCTCATTCTTCGTCTCTGTTTTCGTACTTTATATTTCTGTCGACTGAATTTTCTTTTCTTCATCTTCACTGCCCTTTTACTTGATGTGGTGACATGAGTTATGGCAACTAGAACCGTTACGCAGTAATGCCTGGTCCTATGCTGATTTCGATGGATGAATGGATCTCGGCTGGACAAGCGACGGTAAGCTACTTGTCGAGATACCTGGGAAATAAATATTATTAGTTATAGACATGCATGACTGTACAGCTAAAAAGGCACTGGTTGAGACTGGCCACACATGGTCTTTCTAAAGTGTGATTTAAATTTGATTACGTTGAATTCACTAGAACCAGCCTCAGAAAACTGTAGGACAAGGTGAGGTGCTAGTTTCGATGCCGACCTCTTCTAGTACCTCCTTCTTATAGGAAAAGCATAATCAGTATGAACCTCCAGTTATCCACAGAAAACAACTTGCTGCTATTATAACCCTGATCAACCAACAGTACAACTTCGCCTTTGAAAGCCCATCATAGAGCAGCAATTTACATTAAGGCGGTAAAGGCATTTTATCTTATCGCTATTCAACAGACACTTTCGAGATGGTGAGACCTCGAAAGAACTAGCGTCTCAGCCAGTGTATGTCGTTGGATCGCCGTGATATCCAAGCCCAACTGTCATGTTAGGGAATCAGCTATCGGTCGGAAAACGAAGAGTGAGGTCTACAGATAGGGTGTCGAATAATGAAAAAAGGCCAACTGGTGGTACAAAGGAGCAGGAAGTGGAAGCTAAGAGAATACTGAGAACTATTGCATACTGGGGGAAGACAGATAATACTGAGTAAACGAGTTGAGGTACTTGTAAACACACCAGACATTACTGAGCTGAGTGCACAAGTGTTTCCCGTGCTATTTTTTCTTCAAGCCACACTTTACATGTAAACGAATCGTATTACAAAGAAATAAGGCTACCTGCCATACAGTTGAATATATGATATGCCTTGGTATCACGAGCTTGAAGTGATGAAAGAAAAATATACAGCTTTCACATTCACGTAATTATGACTTTTTCACGTCTTGATATCGATCACTTCAACTCCCACACCTTATCAATGTCCATGAGTCCCTAATCAAACTGAATGCAAGACGATATATTTGTGACTGCTTTTTCGGTACAATGAAAAATAGACTTACTATCGATTGTCCTGTTTAAATACCTAGTCATTCATATGACTGAACTGTCCATCCGTAACTCACTATAATCCATAAAAATGAAGTGCATTCATTCGTATGTGGAAATCTCGATAATCCACAATAATCTGGTTCACTAAAGGTCCAGTCATTTCGCAATCATGAATTGTACGGAATTGGGTGAGGTGTTAGTAAAAAGCTGTTGATTCCATCCTTGTTTGAGATTTCTATTTGTTTCTTAGGTCCACAATAGAATGCCCAAGAATAACGTGCAAAACTACTATAATAATGAGAGCCCATCTCTCTGAACTTCGAAGGAACAGACCACCATAGCAGCCTCTATTTTCCACTATACAAAACACTCAAATGTACCCATTTTCCAGGCTGCTGACCCCCAATGAATGTCGCCAGGACATAAGTTTGAGCATCAAATTGCTAATAAGCCTAATTTGGAAAATTACTGGATATCAATCTGAATCAAAATCTTTTCCATACATTTGATGTTAACAACGCAATACTGAACAAACTAAGATGCTTGTATTTTAAAAGAACAAAAGATTGAACACTGCACTACTTCTCAATACGGTTAAGTAGCATAACGAACTGGAGCACACCACTAGAGAGAAGTCAAAATAGGCGTGCATATCACAGTACCCGCGGTTAACACAATGTACCAGTTCCTAATCTACCAACTTCAGTATTCAACATAAATAGTGGTGGTTTTTGATCTGATGGATTTCAGTCTCTCGCATCCAGTTTTTTGGACTTGATTCTTCTTGTTCAGTTTACTCCTGCAGTGGGCAAGGGAATCTCTTCTGTTTTCCTGCTTTTACCTCAGGTGAGGTGAACTTTTTAGGGGTTTGTGTTTGTATTTGTATTTGCAGATTGAGATGGTTAGGTAGCTACCAGTCGTTGGAAAGGTTAAGGGTCCATTGTGAATAAATACAGCACGATGCTGGGAAAAGGTACACAGGACTTACCCAAAAGGTAAAAGTAGATAGGACGTGTCTAGTTACTGGAGAACTAGCACATTATACAAGTGGTAAGTGGTAAATAGGAGGGAAATAGAGGTGGGATATTGAGGTTAGTAATTCCCTTCAAACTTCGTGACGTAATGTACTTCGAGTCTAAAACCCAATCCGCCAGTAACATCGATTCAATGCCAAAGCAACACACGGAAATCTGTATTACATTATTTGCTTGATACTTGAAGCTTAAACTTATGTCTTAATGACCTTCATTGGGATTCAGCAGCCTGGAAAATGGGTACATTTGAGTGTTTTGTATAGTGGAAAATAGAGGTTGCTGTGGTGGTCTGCAGACCCCAGCAAGTAACGAAGTCGGGCGCAATGAACATATGTACATTTTATAAGTCAGCTGTTTGGGCATCAGCCATCCCTAAGACATACATTAAGATGACTTTGTAGCGTCACACACTTCTCCAGAATCAATAGCCCAGGGCTGGACGAGATTCAACATTGATGCTGACCTTGATAGTTGTACCGGGCTCGTTAATCTAAAGGCACCCGGTCAAGCATCCACGCCATTTGGCAGGCTGTCGTGTTACGTTGCACTGCTAGCAGTCGGCTCTCTAGCTACTTAGTTGGAACGCACCGGTATCTTGGCCCGTCCTCGCAATATACCATTCCATCCGACTACGCTACTGTGTTCTTTCTCGGTCACGTATTCGTGGGTATATAACAAGTTCGAGTGTACGGTGATTGGCCTCTGCGTCTATCAAATTCGCTTCCCAAAATTTCTATTATCTATCAGTTGGATAGTGGTAGAAAGTGTAAGTTCTGAGGGTTGTGAATCACTGTTGTACTGGTCCATTAACTGGGGTTCGTCCATATTTCTGTGCATTCAGAGGGGGCGCTTTGGATTTGACGACACATTTGTACCTCATACTCTTCTGTGTAACGTCTGGGGAAATAAGGCGTTTAGTTGATATTCTAGCCGGTGATGTTGAGCGTATCAGACCAGCGAAGTTAGAGACCGGGCGTAAAAGGTCTTCGGGTAACATTAAGTCTCTGTGAACTGAACCAAGGTCTAATCTGGAGCGCGGGGAGAACGAAAGATTTCTACAAATTTCGGAGGATAGTAGCCCGTAAGTTCCCCACAGTTTGTATTGTACGAGGTGGCACTTTTGTCACAAAGCTAGACATGGTCTTCAGTCTTCGTTTCAACCACTGCACGCTGACTCTTAGGAAAATAGGAAAGATTTTTTGACGAGTAGTAGATACATTCAAGTTAAAGGGGCAGTGGTAGAAGTGACTGATAATGTAATTTCACAAACTGGGCCGTTAGGCCGAGCACGCAAGATATTCAGAGACCGTTTAAATACGCAAACAGCCAATGGAATGTTCAGCTAAGTAACAGTTAAGTCAGGTA